AGGCCCACATTCTGCACCACTGGAGCCAGAACCACAACCTTAGAGCAAGTGCAAGTTATATTTACAAGGAAGAACAAGGTGCAATAAAAACACATTTTTATCTTTAGGAAATGTACTTTTCCCCTAGATTGAAATGATGTTCACACAGCACAGCCCCTTGTCACCATTGCCAGTGTCACCATCCTCCGAGATCACGACGCATCAGTGGATCACCAACAGCCAGGACACCTCAGGAGAGACACCGTGTATTATTCTATGTTGTTTCATGTTTTTCTAGCACTGTTTTATAACATACAGGAAAAGGCGGCTTTGAATAGAACTCTTCCAGGACAAACAATGAGCACATGGCCTCAAAATGTGTTTCAAATAATACCACAGTAGTTATAGTTTCAAGTACAAGGACAGACATAACAACAAAGAGCATCAACTTCCCTCTTTCCTGGTCTGGTTAATTTTCCCTTTCCCATCTGTGAGTATGACCTAATGATACAGACTATTTGTATTTAATTTTGAGATCTGCAGAGTAGAAGCATCATGTACAAGCTTGGTCTGTACTGGTTTTGTTAGTTGTATGTGTTTAGCCAGGCTTTACTTTCCTCCACACACCATTATTTACACTCCAAAGCACTGACTCCTTGCAAAGCATTATACATGTTATGACTGTGTTTATAGAGTAGAAGTGCTCTCTGTAACGTCTGTTTTTCATGTCTTAAACCAATAAAACTTTACATTGGGCTTATCAAAACCATTCAGTGTAGATCTAAGTCTGCTGTGACTGAAATCAGCAATAAAACTTCTCTTGATGCCCTGTGGATCAGAGCTAAGGCAACGCTGAGCTCTCTTAATAAATTCCGCTCCGGTAAAAGTTTTATTTAAAAAATGTGGTCAACCCAAAGCTTTTAAGGAAGATTAATGTGGACTTATAAAAAATGTCTGATTTTATTATTAGTAGTAATTCATACAGTTTGTCCTGAAGTTTTCCTTTTCAGCTTCAGTTTGAACCATATGTTCAGGAAGTTCAACTGAAAAGCGATCCTTGAGCAATATTATTTTTTTCTAATTAACAATAACCACAGAGGTATTTTAGAGAAACCTACAGGCTCCCTCAGAAGGTTGTGGAGTGAGCTGGATTAAAACAGGATTTTGTCTATTTTATGAAAAATGCACCAAAGCACAAATAGGTCAACTTCAGAGGAGTCCTTCCTTTCCTCTACCAAACAAAGGATTCCACGTGCAGCAAATCTTAATTTCCACAGGGTTCTTTTGTGAAAGGCCTTGGAGAACTCTGGGACCCATCATTGCCCTGTCCACCTCACTGGGATGGAGCACAGACACAGCAGTGCAGCCACTGGATCACCAGACAGGATCTGGATCCAGTGGGGTAAAGCAGTTCCTGAAGCCAGGTGTGATGGCTGGCAAATGCAAAAGCTCAAGGGGATGCTGCAAGCTGGGTGCCAGACTGGGCTTATACAGACTGGGTGGGGATTTAGGGATAAACACAGCCATGGGCCCAAACAACTGGTCTGTGAGTGCAAACAAAACACATCAGTCACAAAGGAAAACCCCTCACTTGAACAAAAACAAGAGTAAAAAGCAGAAGTCAGAGCAAGGTTCATAAAAATACTTTTGGGCCAAATTTAACATCCCCAGTCCTTGTACACACCACGTAACCAATGGCATCAGGACCATTGTTATACTGGATTTCAAGCATGGTTTATCTCATATTCCCCCCTTTCCAATGACAGCAGACAAAGTAACTCTGAGTGCAGAAACCCTGCACAGCTTACAAAAAACTACTTGCTGGTTATTTTGAAGAACAAAGGTAATTGTTCAGTTCAACAGAACAATTCCATCCCAGTGGCAGCTCAGCGTTGTGCTGCTGTTTGCACTGGGGTCCTTGTCAGGTTTGATCAGTTTAATTGTTGAGAGGTTTTGTTTCCCCTAAGCTGTCACACTGCTCGCTGCCCCAGGAGCTGCAAGTCAAGCTGTGATGCTTCTGATCAGATGCTGTTTGTGCTTTGCTGTTTTTGCTGTTGGTGCCAGCCCTGACATTAGTGTGTGTCACCCACTGCTGTCACCACGCGTGCAGCCTCATCTTCCTGCCCTCTTTCCTGAGACCTCTCTATGTTGTACTTGGAAATCAGCAGTTGTCTGGGTAAGAAGAATTGGAAAGGATGTGACAACTGGATTTTCCAGAGGTACATCTGCTCCTTGGCAGTGCCTCCTGGTTTTGTCTGGGATAACTGTTCCTCACAACCCTGAAAGCCACACTGGATCTGGACAACTCGTTGATGGAGCAGCAATGCTTCTGTCCACAGGGTACCTGTATTCCTGAGGGCTTCAAACACAATCCAGGGAGCTTCAAGAATAAGGTGTTATCCACAGGGAAAGAAACTGTGGAAAGGAAACCCTCCCTTGGTTGGTCTGTGTATCTCTGTACATATCAGTGTAGAAGAGCAAAGGCTCCATTTTTGCACAGCCACTTTGCAAAGTAAAAGGCACAAGCAAGGCCTGTTCCTGACAGGGTGTAAGATATCACCAAAGCACATCCTTCCCCTCCTGTCACATCCTGGGAAGGAGCCTGAAAGAACTGTGGAGTCTGTTTTAACCTACAGACTAAACCACGCCCCGTGGAGGGGAACATTAATTTTTAACCCAACACAACAGCATTAATGAAGAGGAACAATCACTTAGTCGTACAGTTCCTGTGCAAAGCAGGGCGAGACTCAAGGCCTCACAGCCTACACTCGGTGCCAAATTCTCAATCCAGGCACACACCAGTGCAGCCATTAAGACCCAATTCCCAAAAGGATTCAATGTCAGGCAGAATATTTTCTTTTCCAAGGTCTGGGGCAGTGGGGATCCCTTTTAGAAGTGTTCCTCTGGATACTGCACAATTGAACAGCATAGGGGCATTCACGCAGCACAGAAAGGTTCTTCATTCAAGAGATTTGAATCTGAAAATTCTTAGAGACACATTGAACTGAAACACTGCAAGCATCAGGATGCAAAATAACCTATGTCATGTGAATACTCAGTTTGCAGATTACCTGTATGACACGCTGCTGTTCCTGACTTTTACCTTGTGAAGAATCTTCACCTGGGGGTGTCTCGTGGATTTTTTTCCTCAGAGTTGCTGTTTGCTCCTTTGGAACCACCATATGCTTGTCTTCTCTGCAGGATACTTGGAGCAGCTGATGACAGGGTGGTTCCCCTTCTTTTAAGTTGCATGATAAACATCTGTCAGCAAATTGCACCCAATGGGTGAGGGAGGCAAGGCCTGGGCCTGACTGGCTCCAGTTGGGCCCTTGGGCAAACTTCACCAAACAGTGAACGGGCTTCTCTTGGACTGGGGACATGTGTGATGGGTTTGTCCCTCTGCTGGTGACATGGGCTGGATCAAGACCCAGCAGTGCTTGGCACCACCAAGTGACTCAGTGTGAAACCTCAGAGGGCAGTTTTACACTGTGCACTTGCTAAACTATCTCATGTTGCATTTTTCTGTAACTTCTCATCATCCAAAGAGCCTAAATTGAAAGTGCCTAAAGCCAAAAACAGAGCTTAACATTAAAATGCCCATCAACCTGCAGCTGAAGAGTGCTAGAACTCCTGAGCTTTAACATTTTACATCTTGGCTCAATTTGAATTAAATTTTAATTTGAGAACTTGACAAGCTGTACAGTTTGCTAAGTCTTGCATAACAAAAGGATGGTCAGACAACCTCACTGCAAAATCCTGTACCAGTGTTTGTGTTATCACAGCTGATTTCCCAGACACTGGGATATGGATTTCTTACAGCTCTGCAATGGGAACAGTCAGATTTTAAAATGCATAATGTGAAACTGGTAGTAACACTGTCCTGCAACAGAAATGCAGCTATAAAGTACAAGTATTACACGGGGAGAAAAGCATTAAAAAGCCATGTAGGAAATGTGAACAAATCTCCCTGTAACTGTTTTGTGCAAGCCCACGTAAGGTACAGAGATTCCTTGAACTTTGTGCATCTACATTTTACACCAAGCCAGTCTTACTGTTTGTTTCCTTTCTAAACTCCATACACTCCTTGGTACCAGTTCAGCCTGAGGAATCAAGGCCATTTTGATGATAATGATATAAAAAGCAGGAAGTTTATGGAAACTTTGCTGAAGCTGTTGGTGTGTGTGTTTGTATTGAGCTGCAAAGAGTAGAAGTGCTGGTACAGTACCAGCCAACCCTGCACATCTATCCCTGTACAATCTGCACATTTGCTATCCATTTGGAGTCTGTGAACTTCTTTTCTACACATTAATTGTATATTGAAATAGATACATTAAAATTTATGAATATTTGTTGTTTACAACACACTGGTCTCCAACTGCTTTTCCCCTCTCTGTATTCCCAGCTGCCATATTTTATCATGCCCTTGAGCTGTGAGCTCTGACACACCACCGTGTCTCAGTCATTTTCTTGCTTGTTTTACTCTTTGTGTTGTGATGTTTCTTCATTTTATTCCCATCAACTTTCATTGTCTTTAATTATGTCCCTGAACTTGTAAAGCTGTTTCTCCTAACAATGGGTACTTTGGAAATGGCAACAATTGCTTTTCCATGAACTACAAGGCAGGAAGTGCATTGTTTCTTTAAAAAAATTACCAGATGTTTTTCAGGACTAACTATGAACATAAAAAAAAAGCAGAAACTATTATTTTCCAAATATTCCAAGTCCAATTTTTTTATTGTGTGACTTCTGTTTGCATTTAACTGGGAATTGCAGCCTATGCCAATGCTAAAGAATGAATTTCTCTCAAGCTAAAGGTATAACATGGAGTCTACCTACATGAACAGTGACTCTGTGGACTCAAGTCCATCAGAGTGAGTCACGTTGTTCCTTGTGCTGTTCCCGCCAGTCCAAATACAAGCGCTGGGGTACCTGCAGATGGTTATCTTGTGTTCTCTGACTGGAACAGATGAATATTCCTTGTCCCTTGGGTGCAGGGATTATTGACAGGAAATACCCAGTGCTTCACAGCGAAGTGAGTGCATTTTATTTCTCATTAAAAATTAAAATGTATACTTTAAATGATAAAAGTATATTTTTAATATGGACGGTACAGTAAGAAGAAATTACCCACATCACACGTGCCTGGAAATTCATTATCCCTGCGGTTCCCAGACTACATCCCTTGGGATCACGAGCTGTTCATGATGGAGCGATACTCCTTCTGATGTTCCACAAGCTTCAAAAATACTTCATATTTCTTGTCATAAAATCTGTGTAAGGAAGTTAATTTCAACAAAACCCAAGATTTGAAGATCTAAACCCCCTGTAATACACATGTTTACTGCCTTCCCTCAACATCAAAGAAACTTTGACTCTTCCCTAATTACACCTTCTGCCGGGATCAGAGCCCTCCCTGTGCGCTGCCGGAGCACAGTTTCCACCCAAACGAATTATTTCAAGCTGTAATTACACCTTTTCCCTACAGCCAGCTTTGTTTCTCAGGCAGCTTTTCCCCAGAGTTCTCTGCCGTGAGAGTGGGGAGACACTGGCACTGCACAGAATCATTCAGGCTGGAAAAGCCCTCCAAGTCCAACTGTTCCCCCAGCACTGCCAAGGCCACCACTAACCCATGTCCCCAAGTGCCACATCCACATGTTTTTTAAATATCTGCAGAGGTGAGGACTCCAGGGCAGGACAACACTTTCCATGAAGGAATTTTCCCTCATATCAGTCGAAGTCTCCCCTGATGTAACTTAGGGCCGTTTCCCCTTGTCCTGTCCCTTGTTCCCTGGGAGCAGAGCCCGATCCCCCCGACTCCACTTCAGCCTCCTGTCAGGGAGTTTGCAGAGAGCCAGAAGGTCCCCCCTGAGCCTCCTTTTCTCCAGGTCGAGCCCTCCCACCTCCCTCAGCCGCTCCTGGTGCTCCAGACCCTTCCCCAGCTCTATTCCCTTCCCTGGACACGCTCCAGCCTCTCAATGTGTGTCCTGCGGCGAGGGGACCCCCGTGTCCCGCCGTGTCCCTGTCTCCCGTGTCCCCCATCCCGGTTCCGGGGCGCGCGGACCCGCTCCCGCCGCCAGGGGGAGCCCGCGCGCCGCCGCCCATGGAATATGGAATCCTTAAAAATGTAACATAAATAACCCTTAAAATATATTATAGTCCTTAAAAAAAACCATAAATAACGCTTAAAATATAATATAATCCTTAAAAATATAACAGAAATAATTAAAACTTAATAGAAATAATCCTTAAAAATATAATGTAAACAATCTTAAAAATATAATGTACTATGACACTTAAAAAATCTGGGTGCTCAACACTACTGTCCTTGAACAGGGATATAAAGAGATACACCCCAACTTTCCCAGGGGAACACAACAATCCCAGTGTTACCTTTTGTGCTCGTGGTTGGGTTGCACAACTCTCCCAATTTTCCCCATTTTCGCCATGGCCTCCTAGGAAAAGACAAACACAAACTGGAAAAGCCTGTTTTGGTTTAAAATACTTTTTGACGAGAACAAGATGTTTCAAAACCAATCGGAACATTAGTGATGTATTTTGTTTCGGCTGCACGGGCCAGATGGCAGCAAATATGTTCAATCCCATTATATAGTAGTCATGAGAACAAAGCACTGCAGACCCCTCATCACCAAAATCTGTTCCTCTTTCTCACTGGGAGTCCCAGGCGGAACAGACTTATCTTTTATTATTTACAGTAACCAAAGGAAATGTTAAACACTGTGTACCCAGAGGGGAGTTTCTCAAATAAAATGATACTGTACATCAGATCCCTTAATGTATTCTGAAAGTATCAGTTGCCTGCAGCAAGGGGGGACTGGAGGGTGCTCCAGAAGCTAAAGGTAACCTGGAAAGGCCTGTTCTGGAGCCCACAACTTCACTCACACTCTGTGAGAGGCAAACTCTGATCCTCCTCTGCTTTTGGCCAAAACAAAGTCAGATTTTGCAGAACCCCCTGGAGAAGGAGTCTGGGACAGTCACTTAAGGAAGGGAGAGAAACGAGTAATTTGGTTCCTCTCCTGATCTCTGTGAGATTCTGATTTTCCGTAGATTCTCCTGAACAACCCTCCTGGAATGAGATACTAACCACTGAAGTTCACAGGGGACCAAGCTCTCAGGATATGGTGGTGTCAGCAGGCACTCCGTGATTTCACAAGGAGCATCAAAGCAATAGCTTTTAGATGGAAGAATGTTAAAAGCATTAAATATCAGGATTCAAGACTCAGTGTGTGACTAAATCAATGTTCATAGTTTCTAAGCATGACCCTGAAACTGCTCTAATGTAGTGCCTAAGAATCAGGATGACCCCAGAGAACAGGCAGCCTGTGCTGCTGCTGGAACCTTCCACCCAACTGCTTCAGCTGCATTTTTAGAAGGGTTGGATGATTTTACAGGCTGTAATATCTGCTGTAGTGAAATCCATGCTTTCCACTAATCCAGCACTTCACAGCCAAGGATTTCCTAGAACTTTAGAAGTAGATGAGCAACGTCAGCACAGTGTCACAGCCCAGGGCAGGCAGGGAGGCTCCAAGGATAAGCTCTGACTGACTGAACCTGCAGTATTACCTGGCATGTTCTGGGAGTGTCCTTTCATCCTGTCAGTCCAAATGTCCCACCAGAACATGGAACACCTACTTTCTACTTTTGTCAACTTCAGGGTGTCAATACTGGATGAAATCGTGGTTCTATAGATGTAAAAAGACTGCCAGTGTGTGCAGTCAGGATTTTACTCTGCTAGGGCTGCTGATAAACTACCAGGGAATATTTCTGTGCTCTCATATGCCCATTCTCTTTCCTATGTGCAGAGGTTGATTGTACTTTGATTCCCCAAGAAATACCCTTGAAATAACACTTCCAGTGAGATAGTGTGTTCCTTTCCATGGGACACGTGAGCCTGCTGGCACTGAGACTCTGCACACCCGCCAGATTAAAATATGGGCATGGAAAGGTTGATATCCTTCCCAGTAAGAGGAACAGGCATTTTATTCGCTGTTGTTTAATAGGTGATGCTGACAACACTTAAGCATTGTCCCTGTTTACAACAGTCAGTCTCTTACAACTCCATTACATGGCCAGCTGGATTTAGAGATACCAAAAAGAATGAATGAAGACACAGAAGAAAAGCCTACAAGTAAATGCCAATTCCCTCTGTTACAATGGATACTGATTTTCCATTGTGTCTTACAGAAAATGTAAGGCAAAGCCCCTTGCAGCCCTTTCTCTCACTAATGGAAGAGTCACCTCGCTGAATGGAAAAAAACCCAAGACATGTAAAGGGTCTAAACATCCAATCAAACTGAAAGGGAGGGATGGACTTTGCCATTCGCTGCTCCCTGCACACTCAGGCCTGCCTGGGCAGTGTTAAGAGACTGGAATACAAACAGCACCATTCCCAGGATATGTCCTGCCTCCGACATAAGTGCTCCACACACTCGTGCTGTGCTTTACTCTGGGGCCTCTTACGCCTTCCAGTGCAGCACAAGCCCTGCTGCTGCTCTGGGCAGTCAGCCAGCTTGGAGATAAACCCATCTCCACACAGGTTTTATTTTTACGCTGTTACTCATCAAACCCCAGGTCTCCTGGGCTGATCCAGGAGAGAACAGGCTCCCCCAGGCATGGGAGGCTGAGGGCATCCCGGCTCTGCACTGCAATCCCACCTGGCTCAGGGTCCCTCCACATGTCCCCCCTCCCCACCTGTGCCTCCACTGCCCTGCTGGGGCCCAGCTTCCAGACCAAGTGCTTTGTAGAGTCTTCAAAGGGTGAAACCAAGTCTCCACAAGGCTGCTGAGAGCTTCCCACACTCCCTGTGAAGTCTCCCCAACCCTGAAACCCCTGTGCACAGATTCACCATCCTCTGTTGGGCAGCAGGAGAGGGTGTCACCGCTCCCATGGAGAGGTCCCTAAAGGAAATCTGGTCCCTCAAGGCCTGATCTAAACTAGGAAACAGGGCCTGGTCCCCTCATCCAGCCGCCTTGAGCTAAGGAGGAAGGTGCCCAAGCAGTGTTTCCAGTTTATCTGCTAAAATACTTTTGTGTTTTTAAATCTACAGAAAATACCCAGATCCTTGAGAATCCACAGCATTAAAGTCTCACAGTAACTACCACGGTTATGTGGAATTAACGTGTCAAAAAAATACACAGCCAGCAATTTTCAACAACTCACCCATTCTATGTTGCTCAAAATATCCTAAATTAATTCCCTCTCTTAATTCACATTTCAGTTGTGTGTTTTTCTGTGTTTTAAAGTCAGTTTGGTCATTGTTAGTTTGAACAAAAAACTTTACTCCCAGAGGAGAGTCTTTTCAACAATTTTCTGGGGACAAAGAGGAACAGAACATTGAAAATATGAATTCATAATGAAATGGGAAACAAAGGAACATTAGAATTGCATTACTGAATCGAATCAACCTTGTGCACTGCTCTGTCTCCAACAAAGCCTTAAATATAGCAAAGTGATAATACTGCCGTTCAGAAATAGTTTTTTGGAGGGTTGACATCCAAATCCATAATTCCAGTCACCAAGAATTTCACAATCTTAATTTGAATGACGCTCTATCTTCTTTGTTTGCCAGTCTAGACAGCACAATGAATATAGTGATTTAAAACACAATGAATTCTCTCTTAAAACAAAATATTTTGTAAAATTGCTTTTTAATCATTTCTTTTCTCTCTTTCCATAAAGGCTATGCTATAAATAACCCCTGAAAGTTCGCATTTGATCATCGTTTCTAAAGGCTGGGCAAGAGGCAAGTGAAGGGTTTACACAGAAAAAAAGAGAGGCACTGTGGAGCAGGAATAAAGGGATGCATTCATGATTTCTAACCTTTTGTTGGAGTGTCAACACTGAGACAGATACAAGGCAGTAAACACTCTGCTCTCCATGGAGAGAGTCAGTCCAACAGGGTTACCCTGCCCGGGACAGAAGGAACAGGCCCAGGGAACCAAACTCTCCAAGGCCACCAAGACTCCAGAACAAGGTGCCATTTTGCTGCTGGGAAGATCATTCAAATCCACTTGGTCCTGGTGGCTGAATTCAGCTCTCCAGCACTATCTGGGGCAGGGGATAAGTTGAAAAATCCAGGGTAGAGCCTCAACAGGCAGTGGATCTCCAAGGGAATCCCTACTGGAAACCAGGGAAAACCTTGTCTCCTGTGGAGACCCTACTTTGACACAGCAACTAAAAGCTGGACATTTCAACTGGTTTCCCTTCAATAATGGGAAGGAAAAGGTTTTTAACCCTGTGTGGCCACAGTGCAGCAAGTTACTCCGTCATACCAGGAGGCACCAGGACAAGCCCATCAGCCTGGCATGGGAGCCCACAGGAGGAGCCCACAAGGAATAGCTTTAGACTGGGAGCCTGGTCTTCTCTGATTCCTTACCTCATGGGATCCTCCAAGAGCTGCCTCAGAGCACCCAGCACCATCCTGCCCATCCTACAAGAAGAGCCCATCTTCCTTGGGACTACAGAGGGAGCCATGGAAGATCAGCCCACTTGTGAATAGTCTCCAAGTTTTCAGTAGTGACCCAAGGACTTACATGGCTGAGTATTACTGAAAATAAATGGGATGTAGGCCCTTAAATGAGAAGTCAGATTCAGGGATGTCACTCTTGGCTACAAATGTGCAGTAATAAAATGCCATTGAAATGAATGAGCTGGGAACATCAGTCCCTTTAAGAAACTGGAGGGTTACTTTACTTAGGTACTTTAAAATTGTATCCAAAGTTAGATGGATATTTCCAGCACAAGTACAATTTCCCAGATGTGTTCTCTCCACTTAAGTAATTTCAATAATCTCAAGAAATGTTTGGATTTTTACCTGGCATAGTTATTAACAATAAAAAACCACATATCATTTAAAGCTTTCCTGTACAATTTCAGTGGCTGAAAGCACCTGGCTGCACATACAGCAAAGCACCAAACTGTGGGGACACGATGCTCCCACTCAGGCCAGTCTCGACTGCCCAGTGTTCCTGTACAGCTTTCCTGTCACAGATCCAGCAGCAAAGGAAAATAATGTAAAAGTTGCCCTATTCACAATAGGCTGAAATGCAGGAACATTCTTCCCACCAGACCTGTGCTGACTTGAGGATTCAGCAGGTGTAACAACCTTCAAACTAACAGACTTTCTTTACACTTCTAGTCCTCACAACAAATACAATAAATAATGTTATATATAATAATTTTAACTGTTCTTTGTCAGTGAAGAACCTCCCTCTCACTCATCTCTATTCCACACACATAAGCTCAGACTAACAGATGCTCTTTACCATCATTTTAAGAAGTCCAGTCACAGATATATTTGGATTTGAGAGGAATAAATAGATTTCTTGAAATGCTGATGTTCAAGAAACACTTCTAAATTTTTCTAAGAATTTTAAGTAAGGCTGCTATTTCTTTATAGGCTTTTATTTAGGGATTGCTTGGTCCATAGCCTGGA